ATTGAAATTTATCTATACAAAATATGTACAAATGAATCGGCGATATTGCATTTCAAACGAAATTTATTTATGTAATCGTGTACGCGCGACATTCATATTCAAAACTGAATTTATATGCAGACATATAAAAAATAAAGTGATCAGAGTGTATTTTATTATATACACACATATTTTGTTTTTACAGAAAGGCAATTTCCGATTTTAATGAAATTTGAAAATATTTCCGAAACCTATGCAGCTGGGGATTTAGTTACGTTCGGACACCGTGCAAAATGAATTTATCATTAAATACGTGTACAATGCACGATTGTGTCGCCGGAATTGCTGCGCACACGTCACGCAGTTCTGTCCGATTTAGACAAGCGAAATGGACATGTTTTAATCACTGGAACCAATATTCGGTTTTACTACAAACGAAAAATAAGCTGAAAAGTTTCGAACGTTTTGTATACGTGTTGAAAGCAAAAAAAAAATTAACACACAAAGAATTTATGTACGTATAAAGTGCAGCTGCTTTTGTTAAAGCTAATTGTATTTAACTTTGTAAATTGGAAGATGTCAAATGCATTTTGTTATTTTTTTACTAGAATATTAATTATTCCAGTGGATGTAATTGTCTTAATATAAAACAGACTGTTTCAAACATCTTTAAATCAATATTCATTTACTATATTACATCTTATTAATTAGAAAAATTTAATTGATAAATTTATATATTGAATCGTATTTACCAGTCTAGCCCCAACTTTATCTGTATTTTGAAATCTGCTTCATAAGATCAAAAAATATGGTGCTTTCTTACAACTAATAGATATCAATTAAATAAATAGTGGTAATTATTAAGATTTATATTTCGTTTTCCCGGGAAAAAATGGACAAATTTCTTCTAATTATATTGCTAATTATAAATGCTAAAATATAAATGCTAATTATACTATATTAAATTAGACATCTAAATCCATTAGATACTTATGTACTTTAAATATGTAATGAACAACATTGTTTTTAAAGATTTTATACAAAAAAAAAAATGATTGACAACAGTGAAATTTGTTTTCAATAATTTAATATCTCACTCAATAAGTTCGTAGGATGACATATATATGGCGCTACTATCGACAAATCCATATGATTTTTAGGAAATACCAACCTTCAGACGACGCCTTCTCAAATTTCGTGGCAATCTGACATTTAGTTCACAAGTTGATAAAACATTGCTTTTGTGATGGGAAAAATGCAGTTCAAACAATGAAATATATGGATAAATATTGGATAAGTGTTATGGGTCGAGACAAATGGTTGGGAAATGCTGAGAGCGTTCAGTTGTCCAAATTCAGCAAATGCATAAAAATTGTCAACAAAATGGTTTTGTTGATGAATAAAGTCGAATATTGATGTTGTTTTATTAGTCATCCTACGAACTTATTGAGTAAGCTGTTAAGTATAGTTCCAATTAATTCATCTCATTCGTTTAAGTTTTTTCAAATTTATTTATACCTTATCCCTTAATTTAATTTCCCGGAAATTCTCGGTATTCACTACAAATTGTACTCTAAAAATTGTGATCTTTCTATTATATAAAAGAGAGGATAATTTTTATATAATAAAGAATAGTCATTTGCAGCAGTTAATCCTTTTTGTTTTTTTTTTAATACTGTTTCAATAAAGATTATTATTTATTATTACTAGATATTGCGACAAATCATTATAGTAAAAAAAAAAGTAGATTTAATAATATAAACATTTTTAATTGGAAACATGTATTCGATTAACCGTAAAATGTTAGATAATTAATGTTAGTTACATTAATTAGTGTAATTCCACGTGCAGTCATTTGTCTTTCGGTTCCGTGCAATACATTGACACCTAATAAATAACCAATTGTTCGGTATTGTTCGTTCGGTTTTGATGCATCGCCAATTTGCATATGAGTGATTCCCCGTCCGCTCGACAAATCCAACATAATGATCATTGCATAATCGGTAGAAATAAGTTTGTGATTCGCATTCGAGCAACTGGCGGAGAAAGGTAGCATTCATTAGTGCCGGTGTAAATAGCCAATCATTGGAGCCAATTTACACGACGCGGATGCGCCTGTTGCTAATTTGTTCGAAGAAACTTTTTTTCTGCAAGCTTGATTTTCAGCTTGAATATAGCTGATCCAATCACCTTGAAAATACCCAGATTAAATACACAATCTACTTTAATTGCACGAACTTTATTTTTTTAATTTGATAAAATTTAAATTTTGCGAATATGTAATAAATTAATATTTCTATACATAAGTAAAATAAAAAAAATATTAATCGTTTTTTTATTTCACTATAAGATGAAAGATGAATGCATTTAAATAAATTAAATCGGAAAGTATATTATTTAAAAGGAATATTTTGATTATTTAGGAAGTCACTGCAAGAACAAATCTGTTTCAGACTCCAACAAAGCATTTAACTACATATGGAAGAGGGGTCTTTTACACAATCTGGTCTCTCTTGGAGTAGAAAATCCAATAAACAGTCGTAATCGTATGAGAAGGAGGCAAGTATGTTGCCCAATTGAGCCTGCCATTTTGCTAGTCGTCCTCAGACACTTTTTTTTACATACATTTGAAACATTCTCTCAGACTAACAAAAACATTATTACAAATTGCAACAACACCAAATTATTTTTGATAATATACAGTTCAATTTTCCGGATTTTTACTCTTATAGAGAAACAATTTTCCCCATATAAACTTATGTCATATATGATAACGACACTTTGCGAGTCATTTTTCTTACATTTTATTTTGCTCGTTATGCGAGGTGCTCGTTAAGCGAGGTTCCATTGTGTTTCTAATTAATTATTTTTTAGAGAATTAACATATTTTTCAATTTTATAAGATGCACCCAAAAGAGAATTTAAAAATGCAAACGTTATCCTTAGAAAAATACAGTAGTCCTTGAAATAATAATATTTGAACGGATAAAATGTTTATTTAAGAAGATTTTATATTTTTTTATATATACAGCTTAACGAGTATAATCCGTTTAAAAATTTCCGGATTTTTACTCGAATAGTGATGTACTCGTATAGTGAAACAATTGTACAAAATATCTACGTATTTTAAATATATTTTTACATTGTTTTTTTTTATTATTACTTGTATTGTAATAATCTTAAGAAATTTGTATTTTTGTGACTGTGAGTTTCCTGGAGGGACTTGGATTATAGCGAGTTTATCTTAGATCTAATGTTACATAAATATGGGTTCCGGAAAGAGTCGCTCGGTCGCCCGGGGGGCACTTAAAGTATGATACAAACCGAAACTTGTAACTTCATTTAAATTCGTTGGATTATTTTCCTTGCGGACAGATGCAAAATGCTACGAGCAAAAACCCAACGATCCTTCTGCACTTTTGCCATGCACGGCGAATTCTGAATGTAGTTTTAATAAAAAAATGTCTGAATGTGTATCTGCAGGAATTTGCATTATTCCGGTGGGTTTTTATTGCAGATTTTTGAGAAATGAATATGAATGTTTCACATTTGCATATTTGCTTCAATCATATTATTTAAATTACTTTCTACACTAAATATTCTCTATGTGTGTGTTAAAAAAAAACATTTTAAATTATTGGTTCAGAATATAATCAACATTGATATGCAATAACTTAAGAAACTAAGCTAAAATATAATAAAATTCAGTATATAATCCATAGCTTATTTAATACGTATTTCAATCATTGTGTATTTTTTTTGAGATTTTTCTGTTAAATCAGATTATATTTCTGATTTATTAAATACAATTGATTATGTATATGTTTAAATTTACTTTACGTAATAAACAATGTTCGTATTATCGCTAATACAACTTTAATAATGTTAATGCAATTTGGAGTTCAATAATCCAATATCAATATACTTAGAATTTTGCATAATGTGTACGAACATGAATAATTATACAAATCTTTATTGTAATAGAAAACAGAATGTGCATTAAATTATAATAAAAAAATAAGTAATTATAATTGAAAATATACACATTTAATAATTGGAGGGAATCGATGATATCTTTTAGATCATTAGGTTAGCTTTCTTCTTATACAATCAATTCCAATTTGTAAATAGTAAGAACTAATTAAGAATATATTAAAATTAGATTTTTCTTAAAAATTTAATCTTTTTATCATAATTTTAATTCTTGTTGTAATTATCTATTTTCAATAGGTCTAATATTTAATACAACTACGTAATTCTGTTAAAGTAAAGTGACGCACTTCGTATGTGCATTTATAATTGTTTTTCAATGTGACTTATTAATATTGAATTTAGAATTTAATTCATATTCCAATGAATTTATAAATATAAACAAATAATGTCTTATATGCAGTAATAGATGAATGTAGTTACAATTTCTTGAAATTATTTAAATTTTTTAAGTATATTTATTTATTGTTTTGAGAAAATGATAATAGTATATTTCTATATATTCATTCCTTTTGAATATAATAATCATTGAATCAAAAAATAAAAATATTTAATAGTTAAGTAAAGAAATCTTTTTGCGTATGCGCATTATTAATTATCAATGTGATTTCTCAATCTTAAGATTACAATTTCTAGTTATATTGCAATAGTTTTAAATGTGTAAACAAATAAAACATTTTATGGTATAAGAAAAAATGGAATATATTTTGTTTTTAATTATTGTATTTTAATATATTTTAATTTCTAAATTATGTTCATATTTTTGGGTGAAAAAACTGCTACGAGAATGATTTAAACATATTCTTCATTTAAGATAAAAATATTTTAATTTTAATATAAAACAATAATAGTGAATAACTATGTTAAGTTACTTTCTGTGATTATTGTTTATTTTTAATATAACTTATCAGTATAACATTGGTAAAACAGTAATGGAAAATATTTAGTTTTTGTAATTTTTAAATTATGTTCATATATTTTTCTAAGAAAAAGTTATGAGAAAATGATTGTAGATTTCTATATATTCTTACCTTGGAAGATAATAATCCTTTAAGGAAAAAATATGTAATAGAAAAACACAAATAGTTCGTTGGTTTGTGTATGTAAATGAAAGTTTTTCGTAATTTTCGAAAGTTTCTTGCGTTCACTTTGAAAGTAATTGCGTGTCGACGGCGGCGGCGGTGGCGGCTTTAGCGTCGGCGGCGTCGCGTCTGCGTGTCCGACCCGAAGGATCGCGCGTGTTTTTGGGGGAAGTATGGAGAGAAGGAAGGATCGCGCCAATTCCTGCGGCTCGTCCTGCGTCCGCTTGCTGACTACTGCATCGGAGCCCGGGCTGGACCGGCAGGATGCTGAGTGTAGTACCGCACATCCTCGCGTCGCGACGCAGACGCCCCGCGTCAATCGATATCATCAGAGGGAGAGGCGCGGGCGGTAGACAAAAATCCTACATATATATACCCTTACAACGATCCAGTTGAACTCTCGACCCTTGCTAAGTGCTCTCGATGGGTCCGCGCCGCGCAGCGGACGTGTCCGACTATTCTTCATGTTCAGATCACTTCGGAGCTTTGCAGATTCTCTTCTCGTTTTTATTTTTTATTTTATTTTTTGTTGCAGCGAGGAAACCCTCTCCGAGAAAGTTGTTGACCGACAATAAACTGTCACTTACTTCGGTTTCCAGGCAATCCAGAATCAAAACCAACCCCTTCATTCCTCCCTCGCATGAATATGCAAATCACAAGTGCCGAAGTAAATAACAGAAGAATAAAAAAAGTGCAGAAGGAAAACACACACATGCATCGTAGAAACACGCATGATTATAAATGGCAACTACTTATCTAATCCAATCTGGAGGACGCTCCCGTTTATTTCCCCATTCTTCGTCCTTTTCCTCCGGAAGACTGCCGCAATTATTTTAAAAGGCACTGAATCACAACGCAAACTACGTCAATGTCTTGATGTTCCTTGGGAATTAAATATAACAAAAAATGAAGGAAAAAATAAGAACCTGTACAGCTTGGATGAGCGTGAGCGTCCCAGGATAAAGCCTCCATCCACCAACTAATTTATAATCGCGTCACATTTGAAAACCATTATGCCTGAAAAGCCTTCTGAATTTCGCCGTAAACAATGCCGGTCGCTGAAATCATTAAAACCGCCTCGTTTAAACAATTAAGAAAACGAAAAATGTAGAAGAACGCGTGCGCCGCTACGCCGAAACTTTATATTCTCCTCATTTTAATTGGAAAACTTCCACGATTAAGATGTATCTTATTTGCTATTCTAAATACCTCGTTTTCTACAACTCGACGAAATAAAATTATCATAATAAATGTCGTTTATTTTGGCTTTTACTTTCGTAACGCAGCCGAATAGAAGATAAGAAATTATATCTTGGCAGTAAAGGATAATTCCCATATGACTAACAATTGAACTGGTTAGTGAAAGTCACCTATACAAATAATATCCGTCTCAAATTGTATTTAACTTTTTAATAATTTAATTTAAAAGTTTGTTAATATTTTGTAATATATTACTGTTCTTAAAATAATTAATTTATAATTTTTTTACTTTCAATTTAATTCTGGGTTAGAATTTAAGTCATAGCGTATGCCTATAAAAGTCTATTTTTCTTTCAATAAGATTTAAGACTTAGGAGAATTAGGATTAGGACCGTTAAGTTCGTATTGGTTTTATTCATGATTACAGTGACTAATGATAAAATTTAGAAATTTTGACACATTGGACAAAGAAAACGATGATAAATTATTATTATTCCTATTTACAAAATAAATAATAAAAATCTATAAATTGTATATTACTAATTAACATTTTGATAAAGTAATTCAACATAGCAGTTATTACAAATTGAGTATTGACAGCTATACATGAGTTTCAATTATTATTAATATACAATCGTCTGCAGTGCAGCTAATACATGGTGTAACAGTACAATGGAAATTACGGTTTTGTTAAATCAAATATGCACTGGTTAATTGTCTCATAACAGATAGTGATTGATGTAATCCAAATAAGACCTATAAATAATCCCTTATTGATCTATCAATTTCTAGCAACTAAAACGTCCTATATTAATAATTTACGAAAATTCTATAATAAACAATTAAGTTGCTTTCATATTCACTAAAGTAACCGCAACTGTTAATTATATTGACTTTCCTGTCATCCTCAGTCTCGCCTGTGATTGTTTCTTATGCTCCTACAGTTTATGTACGTTAGCGCTATGAAAATAATTAATTGGATAGAAACCGCAACATTCTAGCAATTACTTCCCATATATCAAATGAACTTTGATTGTAACGATAATTATCATTATTATTCCAAACTTATTAAATTTATAATTTAATTAAAGTTTATCTCATATATTTATTATTATACATTTAGTTTATATTTATAGTATAAATTAATTAATTTGTTTTAGGTAATTGGTGTAATATTTCGTAAAATTAATATTACCCGGCGCTTCCACAAAATTTGCATATTCTTTATTTTTGTATAAAATATAACTAATTATATAAAATCTATGTCATCTATAAGCAAATATAGCTAAACTAAACTCAATTTAAACAGAAAGTTTATAATTAATTTACGTTACTTTAAACACTCTAAGTAATTAGTTACTGAAAGATAAGTTTATAATAAATTTAATTGTGTTAATGAGATATCATATTTATAACTAATTTCCTGACACCTTCAAAAAGGATGAAGCATTTAGTTGAAGAATCTCGTTCATTCTCTGGTAATTTAATTTACAAAGTGAGACGTCTCAGAGCATCTAGCAACTAGTTCAGGATTTAGTTAAACTCGTAACTTATCTCCGAGTTAAAATTTAACAAATTCCCGTTCTACGAAATTTATTTAAACTTTAATTATACAGTCTACTGATAACATTTCGATCATTATTAATTGTGATTCTTTAATGCTCGTTCTATGTGTGAGACACGGAATTGATCTCAATAAAAATTTAATACTTTTGTACTTCGTCCGGGATTCTGTACTAAATTCCCTCGTTTTTACTATTTTCTGAAAGCCGTTCTAAGTGGACGGATTGAAAGCCGAACAGCAAACGGCTGGCTGCCCGATGGATTAGCCAATAAAACTGTCACCGAGATACGTGTAATGAAACGTCCCAGAACTAACGGCACTAAAAACCTCTTCAGCTCGCTCTCGCAGCTACCTCACCAAAATTGCAGCTGCACTATTCTGATAAACTTATTACGTGAAAGGGGGACAAGTAAAAGTTGCCTCTGCTGTTTATTGCAACTATCACACAGACGATTAAAATCATATCTCCGGATTTCCATCCGTCTCTAATTAAAAAGCTTACGAAAAGGTGGAATTTGCATCTGAGATTTAATTAAGGCGCTATTTGCATAGATCTCATAATAAATATACATGACGAGATACTTCAATGTAGAAAACTTCTGCGCATCCGGACGACATCTGAAAGGTTTCTACTCGTATTATTATCGATTTCAGAAAATCCTGAAAGCACCCTTTATATTTATAGAAATCTTCTTATATTTATTATTACATTCAATACAAATTGCAATAATTATGACATGTTTGAGGTAAATTATATTACTATTTATAATGCGTTTCACGAAATTAGTATAAAACGCTTCAATATAAAAGTATATATGGTTGCCTATAACATTACCATCTAAATTATATAAAAAGTCTACTTTTTGTAGCATAATTAAAATACTAATAATAATGAATTTTAAATAAATTAATAATTAGCAAAGTTACATATTTCTTTAAAATAATTTATTATTTTCAATTAAATTCACAATTAAACTTTGAATTTTACATGGATGTATCCAAAACTTGCAAAATTTGAATCCTAGCTTATTAACAAACATATTATATAAACTAAATAGTTATATAGTTAAGTTTATAAGATTTATTTAACCTTTAACTACTCGCCCCGGTGTAAAAAGTACACCAATTTTCGAAGAAATGATACCAGATCTATATTTTCTTTCCCTCATCTATAGCACTTAACGTAACTTATGCCCAAAGTGTTTATTAAATGCCGGTGCAATATTTTGTTGAATGCGGCACAAAGAAGTTGTTTTTATGCATGTTCGTTCTTGCTCTGTAGTGTTGATGTAGTGTTGTATAATTCTGATTCAGAAATTATTATATTAATGCATTTCAAATAGTTATGAGTTTTTCATGTCGTAATACAATAATTTGTGCACTCGATCTGGCAGTAATACAAGTGGTTTATAAATTATACCCCGCGAGTAGTAAATATAAATGTCATTGCGCGAGTAGTTAAAGGTTAATTAATTATATAATAGAAAACAGTATATTTTTGAAATATATTTTATTGAAATACAAAGACGCAAATGCAATACAATTTATAATACGATCCTTAAATCTTAATTTAAATCAAGAAATGGCACATCGAAAGCTAAACAGCAACTTAATAATACGGTATATATTGTATAAAATATATGTGAGTTTCATGTGCGTTAAACAGATATTAGGAAATATGAGCTTAAAACCCAAACTCGACAATCACAGATTTGATACAAAAATAAAATAAATATCCTTAAAACTTAATTAGAATCATTCAATACTATAGCTAAATAAATACATCAATGTTTCAATATATTTTTTTTGAGTTGTTATTGTATATAGTGCAATTAAACATTGGAGATTCCTATAATAATTGTCTTTAAGTAGTATTTGTAAACGTGCTCCCTTTCCTTTCCTCACTAATCTTTCTCGATGCTCTTCTCTCTACTCATCAATCTTATAGATCTTGGATCTTCCGAAGAGCTATACAGGGTCGTCCCTAACGTTGCGCTCGAATGCTCCGAGCGTCGCCTCCCGAAAGCCGGGCAAAATTTTTTCTTCAGAGCTTCCCAGGTTTTGGCTTTCACCATGAAAATGCAGAATATAAACAACCCTAAAAACGCAATAATTAATATAAAAAAAAATATATAACAAACTATAGTAACAATAACCTTGAAGGGAATTGAAGGAATCCCAAATGATTTCGATAACCTGCAGAACGCTGTTCGACTTGAACGAAATCACGTCCGAAACGACCTCAAACATCCAAGAAATTCCCATCACAAGGAACAGTTTCATTAGCATAATCATTCTACAAATCGCAAACAAAAACAATCGAATTAATAACGTATAATATACTAATGAATAAGTGGCACGCATAGTGAAGGTTACGAAGATAAAAGCGTTTATTCATAACTCCGACCTATTTCATGCAAATCAACAGGCAGTTGCGCAATTATAATTACGAGATGTTTATGTTAACGATAAAAGAGATAATTGGACGTTTGCAAATTGCTTTGCAAAAATTAAAAAAAATAACAATTTTTTATCTAATCGAATCTCACTTTTCTCTGTCGGCGTTGAAGAGTTTGAACCGTTTCTCCTTATCGGTGGCGTAATTGTCGTTCATAGTGTTGATCTCAGTTTTTACTTTGAAATAGTAGATGATGGTCTTCAGGAAGAGGACGGCATTGCATACGATCAAGATGGTTAAAGGTAAAACGAAGTAAAGGAGATGGTCGTAGCCGTTCTTTCGAGCTGAAAATAATTTATTTTTAGTAATTTTGTACATAATTCCACTAAATTACTTACTGTGTTGAAAGAAGCATGTTCCACGGCCGATTACGGGTTTTATGGGATCTGGTACACAATCGGTTTTGTAAATCACATATGTTATCAATGTTAACACCGTAGGAACACCCCAGCCATATAAGTTGTAGAAGATGAATCTTTTGCGGTCTCGCCTTTTATTCCCAACTTTAATTAGCTTCATTGTCCTGAAAAAAGAATAAAAATCCAATATTAACTCTAGGAATTATTTAAATATAAATATAGAGTGGAACCTCGCTTAACGTGTTTAATCCGTTCCAAAATTTGGGGATTTTTGCTTGTATAGTGAAACATATTAAAAAATACACATAATATGTGTAAACAAGTTTTAAAAATAATGTAGCCGGTGCCCATTCCGGGACTTCTCTTCTCATCCTCACTCGTTATGCAAAACGTCGCTCGTTAAGCGAGGTTCCACTATATATTTATAATCGTCCATAAAATATTAATGTAAACATATATACAAATTCGGACTATAAGACGCAACCCAAGTATATAACATAATTAAAAATAGCGTATGAAATATCAGAAGACCCTAAATCTCTGTCAATTTCTCAGTAAAAACTTATGACCTTTATGTCACAGAAAGTACGTTAATTAGTAAATAAATAATTAAAAATGTATGCATTACTTTAAAGTAGAGTATTTTGAAACGTAACGATTATTTTATGTTAGAATTAATTAGATTATATAGTTAAAATTTTAGAAATATTACCAAAGTATAATTATTATATTTTGATTAGCTTCAATCAAATTTACATTGTCACATTACTATTTACATTATTATAACATGGATATAGTAAATTAGTAGTCCAAACAAATTATATGTTTTACTTAAAACGATTAGTTTGTTTTGCGTAATACAGTTTTGATTATGTCATAGATCTTGCAAAACATTTGTTTTCTTTCCTTGTATCCTACGACTTATCGGAAAAGCAATTTGTTAGGAGCTTTCTTTTCGTTACCTTAACTTCATCAAATATTGACCTAACGGCTAACTAGTGCTAATACTTTCACTGTCACAGCACACGTCGCAGAAAAGCATTGCAGCGCTAATTGAATGACCCATTAAATGATTAAATATTGCATTCGAATGACCCATTTCTCTTGTCCGCAGTTTGTTTTTACGAAGGATGGACATGCTCGAACACATCACAAATGAGTCATTCAGTTTGCACTTTTCAGGAACGCGAAGAGCTGTATTGAAAACGAGTTTTCCGTTTCACGCTGTTTTATTTGTATGAGTGTTCTATTTTATTTTTTTGTTGTGGTTGTTGTATTATTTGTAAACGGAAGCGTTGGCGTTCCAGCATCGATTGAACATTTCCACAGAACTATTTCATGCTTCAGCTATTTCCTTTCCAAACATTTGATTTAAAGCTGTCTATTTTTAGTTGAGAACATTTTCAATTTCCTTTAGGGAAGCACCAAAACAATTTACGAATCTAAACAATATGTTCAATACGTGGTTCGCATATTTTCACTAAAAATATATAAAAATTTTCGAAGAATACTCGAATAAAATACAATTTTAACATGTAAATCATTTCAACATTCTAGTTGAAAGATACAAGACAATTGGAAGAAAAACATCTTCATTAATTTGTATTTACATGATTATAATTTAATTCATGAACATAATTAATGTTAATAATATATTATTTTCAAAGAAAATTCAATTGTTCTAGTAAAATTATGATTTATATAAAATTTAAGAAATGAGAAAAACTAAGAAATATTTTATAGAAATAAATAATTTGTTTAAGTTTGAATTATCTAATTTCTAAAGGATTCATAATCAATAAAGAAATTCGACTTATTCCAAATATATTTGTAAATTTATATGATTTTCTGCCAATAAATACATTTTTATAGGTCGAGGATACAGTAAGTTAAATCGGCCAACAATTTGTATAAATATACGTAACTAAGTTAAATACATAAATCAAAATAATACGAGATATACAGATAGATTCAATGAACTAAAAAGGATAGGTTATTTCCTACATTTATCACAAATAAAATTACTGAAAAGTTCTAATAAAATATTAAAATTATATACAAAATAGTAAAAGAAACTAACAAAAAATGCAAGAGGCTTAAGAAAAATTATAGGTACTTCTTGGCACCTCCCTAAGAGGATCTCCAGAAATAGTAGATAGAAATAGTAAAATATACTAAAATAGATTTTTTTTAATTGCAAACAAATGTTTTAGATATATAATTGAAAACAGCTTAACAGCCAAATAAGTGAGATTTTTCAAATCACATTAACTGCCAAGATTTCACTAACATCTGCGTTATTGTTTCTATTATAAAGAAATTATAAATATAGTAGAACGATATGAAAATATTTTGTAGATGGATTCAAACACCATATGTAATCTAACAAACTTGAAACAATTTTTAAAGTAATGGTTGTTTTTTGAAACGGATTAAACTGGATTTAATATAATTGTAAATAATAATTTTATATTTAGATTTATGCTTTTTATATATAATTTTGTTAAAATGTAATATAAAATTTTTATATTTTGGTTTTATTTAGGATAAAATATTTCAAATCCACGTAAAATTAATATTTTCTCTCGCCTTTGCGATGTTCTCGTAACAACAACACACAGAGGAGATCACATCTGCAAATATTTGTTCAGCAAGATGACGACACTGCTCTTATTTTGACAAAAATATATCCTTTCAACTATATATAAACTTATATTTTATGGTTTCCAACGCAAAATTTCAGTTTAACAAAAACAAATAAAGAACGTATATTAGGGCACAGCACATTCGGATCCATCCACGAAACAGTTAAAGCCAAAATTGTTTCACTTGGCGCCAAAACCGATATTTTCAATCAGTCAATCAACATTTAACTGTTCTATATTTTGCAAAAATTGGTGTTAAATATTTGTTTTCATTTGAAAATAGCATATTTGGAATCGGTATTTTTAGAATCCTCTGTTAAAGAATAGGATGTGTTTAATAAAATTACTTTGTTAAACGAAACTCTGTTTATTTAATCATTTGGCGCCTCCCCTCACCCCTTTCATAAAATAGACAAAAGTTTAGCAATTATTTGGAAAATGTGACTAATATTTGCGCCTTCCTTTAGACGAAAACGCTGTTTTAGTATTTGTAAAGAAAATGATAACTTTTTACGCATAAAGAAAGTTCTATTAAATAAACACATTTTAAAGTATCAGACTAAAGTTGATTGTGCTTTTGTATCTTCATTTAAGAATTGCCTGTACTGAGTTATTAGCGATGAGTTTTAACAAAAATACTTCGTTCCAAATCATGATTATTTTCATCAAAAAAAAAAAATAAGTACGTTTTTACATCGTTAATTTCTTCAATTTCTTTGGTTTTGTTGCTAACAAGATTTTCTAAATTATCAATTGAAAAACTTCTTCATTCAAAAAATTACTAACATCTTCATTGGAATTTTAAAACCTATTCATTTAACCATTTGTATAACTATAATTCAAATTTCGTGAATGTTTTCCTAGAACAATGTTTGGACATATTTTGCTCCAAACTCCGTTTAAACAACAAATGTTTAAACGTGATTTCCTTTCAAAAACTATAAATGTTTTCAATTGCGTTTCTAATGGTTTTTGTTCAAAAAAACTTATTTATAAGATAAAAAGTTAACCGAGGTATGACTATTATATTTCATGTTTATAATATTGAAACTATTGACATTTTACTTTATTATTAAATTACTTACAAACGTTAAAAAACTAAAATATATGACATTTCAAGAAGACTCATTGGTGAAACTACAACATAGCATGTGTCTTCAATGCAAATAACCAATAAAATTGTTAATAATTCTCGTGCACCTAATTAGTCAATTATCGATATGATTCGCAGATGAAAATAATTGTTATTACATTTTTACCTAATGTTCTAAGTCAGTTGTGATTCAAGGGCGACTAATAGACAAATTAAGTCGCCCTATCCACTATTTCGTGGGCGCATATGGACCTTCAGCCAAGTCGATGAATAATGACTGTGTTAAGGATACCAGCAGATACACAAAAAAGGAAATAGTAAAATCATAAAGCATCAATATACTGAATTTAACCTACAAGATGGCAGCCAACCAACAAATTACAGAAGAATATAATGGTAAAAACTTCCATTGGGAAGTTTACCAAAAAAAGCAAATGTCCACCGGCATTAGATTTAATTAATATTCGCATGAATAAGATTGTAAATTAAATATACTATGACATAAAAACAATGTTGTGATTTATCGTTACTGAAGCACATAATGGCATGTGAGCTACGAAAACAATATTTGAATGAGAATTAATCCATGAAAAAAATATTTCAATTTGAATTCCAGAATACATATTTTCGTCGTCATCTTGAGTTAATCTTAATGTTGTTCTACCAAGTATTTGTATTGGCCAATGTTAGACGACAATTAAACTGAGAACAAGAGAACCAATATTTCTGCCTGCGCCGCAAAATTTAACTTAGGCAAATCCAAAAAGTTTGGAAACTCCTGAGCTAAAATAAAATTTCTAATGCTTCAATTTCATTTTACGATTTGCTGTAAAACAGATACAATCCTTATAGTTACGCTGTATGTATAATACATTTAAATATAATAAATTAATATGTTTTTGTTGACATTAAAATCTTCTAAATAATTGAAATATTTTTCAAGAATTATATGAAAGTTTGTGAACAATATAATAAATGTTAATAAAGAACGTGTAAATTGTAATGAATAATTAGTATTTGCAATATTTATATAAAAAAATATTATGTAGTTAGTACAGATGTTTTTAAATCTGTGAAAAAGAAAATGCGAATTAAAAGTTGGCTGCGATTAGCCATGTTTCATATCAGTCGCCACTTACATTACATATAATTCTGTAAATAATCAAATATAATATACATATATAAAATGTCGTATGGATGTTGTTGGCACGTATTTACTTCCAAAAAGAACAAGGATACCGTGGGATACGATAGACATCTTAACAAGATACAAAAATACATGTATTTCATTAGATTCATCTATTTATAGGAAAACCTGAAGATGAAACATTTCAAAACGACACCTGCTCTCCCCTATCCACTAAATCAAAACACTTAATACCAGTTTTTTTTTTGTTCAAATTTGATACGCAAACACGTAACGCCTTGAAAATATATTACAGCCAAGTGTTCTTGTACTTAACAACAAGTACCTTGCGCTTTCCAAAAATAAATCGCTAATTTTTTTAACAGAAAACATAGCGTTTCATATATACAATTACCACACATCGAATCCGTTGTTTTAAACAACAAGAATGTAAACATTGTAGACCTATAAATAATCATTTCGTGGATACGCGTCGGGCTTTCTCATTTATTATCTTTAGTAATTCAAACTAGAATTCCTTACAAAATCCGGCGCCAACTCCCGAAACAATCGCAAATTATGAATTTCCAGGATAACATTAATACGCGATTTCTTAAAAAAATAGTTTATTTCATAAACACTTGGAATGCGCATCTTTTTTTCTCCAATCAATTGATTTATGGATGGATTTGGGTTTATTTGTTCCCGCTTATTCTTGAAGTTCTATTTAAAATATACATTTTCCATCGCACATATTTTTCACTGCGAAATTGGATATTCAAATGGGCAGGAATAATTATGCAAATATCGTTTGTTTAAGTTGTGCTCCCTTTTTTTTCTCTCTTTGTTCATTCTCGTTACATTTTCACGCCCACGCACTGAAGGGCGAATTGTCTAGGGAGATTATCCACGCTCGTGTATAATTCATTTATTTAGATTTTAATAAAACGTTATGATTAGAACTGTTCTGTTTTCTTCCATTTTTGCGGCCTTCTTTTCCGACTCTACGAAAACAAATAAATCGAACGGGCTGCGGCGCATTTTCGCAATATTTTAAAATTGTAAAATTACATGTAGTTTCGCACGCGCACCGGAAAAATGATGAATCCATTCTGGATGAATGCGTTCGACCTCACGTTACGTTCTAATGATGTAGTGATCATCTTTTTTTTAATTCAGTTTTCCCGTGTTGACAATCCAATAATTCGCCGCGTTACGCTCTGACATTTCACGAAATATACCTATAAACATTTGCATATTACCATTTTCCGCACTTCGGTTTTTTCTATGGCAATTAATGTGGAAAGCTAATGCAACCGAGGGAAAACCGGTTAATTAATTAAATTTCACGCTAATAAAAGTGTAGCTAATTTTAATGGAACTTAATTCGACAATAAAACAGAATCACTTTTCCTACACATTAAATACGTTGAATCAACTTTACACTTGTAGCTATTAATTAACGGCTGGTAAATGAATTACAAAAGATTTTTTGCATTTTCATATAAAATATATCCATTTATTATACAGAAAGTTCTGGTTTTACGAAATCAAATTTTTAGATTTCTTCTATTATTCGATAATTTATTTTATCTTACAAATAATCGTTTGCGAATTATTCAAGTTTATTTATATTGGGTGAAGTAAAAAGTTTTGAGCGTTTTTTGTTAGATGGCTTCAGTGAGCCATATCTCATGATGTATACGTTGCATCTTGTCATTATATACTGCGAATTAAAGGCGACATAACGCTTTTAACGTGTTGATTATTGACCCAACACAGTATCGAATGCAACAGCAAAGCGCTCTGGTAGACCAATCGTCGAAAATGTTGATAAAATCATAGAAATCGTCAAGTCGGACCGGCAAGCGAGTACTTATTCCATTGCCCAGAAACTGAAGATTAGCCAGAAAACTGTTTGGAACCATTTGCATAGGGCTGGTTTTAAGAAGAAGCTCGATGTATGGGACAAAACGCTCAGAACTTTTTACTTCACCCAATACTTACCAGCTTCAGTTTATATTTTCATAGATATTTTATACTTTTGCAATACATTTTCAGAAATACTATTATGACATAACAAGGGGAGCATTACACAGGGATTCCAAAACTTTTTGGTTTGCGCCCCAAATCAAAATATTGACATACTAACCAATTGTCACTAACTATACTAACATATTGTCATTTTCAGTTTTTTTAAGTGAAATGTCTAAAACAATTATAATAAAATAATCTAATGCAATCCAGTTGCGCTTCAAATTATAGTTTAAATCTTGTCCAATATAATTATGAATTATATCTTGAAAAAAACTAATTGAATTTTAATTTTTAAAACATTTATATATATACAAATTATATTATTCATAGTTTAAGAATAATACTGAATCTCAAATGTTTTCATAAAATAAAAATCGTATTTCTTTGAATGTATCTGAAAAAATTAGCAATCGATTTTAAATTTAGGTAACTTATAAATAGTTGTACTGTTTCAAACAAAAAAGTAGAGAACAAGAAGAAAAAAATAAGGAATGAACGCAATGGGTTATTTTAAGATGCGTCTAATACATAAGCAATTGACGTATTTTGTTGTACAAAGGTGATGTGTTTAATCACAAGAAGAAACCAAGTGTATTTATTTTATGCAACTTCTGCTGGTTAGATTAAATGAATCACAACCCATGTATATTTTTATATAACAACTGTGTTTGTTACGAGATTTTTTTTTTAAATATTTAACTTTAAGATTTTGGTCTTACTTTCTTTGGTCGTTATCCCTTTGCTTCAAATTAGGATCAATAAAAAATAGTAAATAAATAATTAATAATTGTTACTGTTCAAAATTATTTGTACTGTACCCATCCAAGTTGTTTAACTTTTATAAGATATTATGAACAATGTTCTAATAACAATTTATTACCAAATTAATATGTATAAAATTATTTTATTTTTTTAATAATAATCAAATGTGACCAAATTATTTCTACCCGGAGATATATTTTTAGATAATTATATTATTTACATTATAACCTCAAATCCTGACCTAACCTAATTATTATGAAATCATTGGAGTTATCGCTAGTAACCAAAGACAATGTATGTCATTATTTACCACATCCTTTGATAAACTAATCTAGTTCTCATTGAATAATATTTATTAAGAAAGATATACTTATCGCATTAATATTATCGAAAACATTAGTCAAATTAAAATATACATAGATTATTTTAAATCTTTACTAATCTCGTCTTAAATATAATAGTAAATTAAAAAGAACATAATGATTGTTCGCAAGTCCATTAATGTTGTGGTAAGATTATAGTAAATGTGTTTATTACCTTTTTAAAACATCATAATATTTAATGGGTACTAAATGAATTTCTTAAATATTATTGCAAACATTACTTCAATTTTAATAAATCCATCAAACTTTATAG